ACATTTGCATTTGTTTCGTTACATTAAACGTGTAACGGTTGCATTGACTGCCTCGTTGGCCGAGTGGTCGCAAGTGCGACTGCCAAAGGGGTCTCGGGTTTGATTCCCGGGCTGGGTAAAGTATTACTGGGTTTTTCAAAAATTTCAGTAGTAGCACGGAGTCTCGATTATCCCCGGTATATGGCAATAGGCTCACCCCTATTACATGGGACTCATAACATAACATAAATAGTGAAAAGTGGGTGTAACACCCACTTTTCACTATTGTACAGTGGCATTAAGTGGCGTAATGTACACCTCTGCCTACCCATTCGGGGATAAAAAGGCATGATGTTATGTTCTAACATTTGCAAAATATCGCTAAACAGCTTTAAATAGCTGAAGAACTTTATTCAGCCTCAAACGTTACTTATCTTGAAGTTTCTAAACAAAACCCAGTTTTGATTGTAAGTTGATGTAACTTTACATTGTTTGACACAGTTTTGTTTCTAATCTAGCTTCAGTAAATAGAAAGTTTACGTATCGCGTGTTATCCTGCAGGCGTGGGTCGCCTCGTGTTTGTTGTAAAAATAGCGTGTGTAATGTACCGCTATAAACTGCGATATGAAGTTGGGCATGACGATACAATTTGTCTATTGTAACTCAGAAGTATCATTGTACCTAAATATATGAATTCCTAGGATTTGAGAAATACTTAAGTCTTTGACTGCCGGCAGAAAACTGCTGAAGGCAAATCCTCCGCTATCGTAGGTCACCGGGGACCTACGCTGCGGTTAACGTGTTAATTAGGTAAGAAGGTACTTATACAAGATTTTTTGAGTAACAAGGAAGTACCTAAATTGAAATTCTCAATTACTGTTTTTGCTCGTGCCATATTAAGTAAATGCAAATTAAAACTATCTTTACTTTTAGTTGTATGATTGTTCTGGCTGCTCTTTGTTACATTTGTTTGTTTTACAATTTACATTACGATAGTTCTCGTTTAATTTTTCATCAAAGTTCACCTTCACGTAAACGACTTATAATTTTTGTAATTGACTATAAATACGACCTACGAACTACAATCTAATACAAACCAAAATAAGGCTAAACACATAGAATTGTCATAGAACACAAGACAAATACAATTAAACAAATATGATATACCATGGCTGCTCGTGTGTGGGGTATAAAACACTTTTATGTGCGATTGCGTCCACAGTTGATCACATTTAACGAGTGTGTAGAGAAGACGGTTTAGAGCCCCCAATAAAACAATAAACGCGCTCTTATCACGCGTTATCAAACGCAGCAAACATTAAATTTATTTGTACGCGTTCCTTGTTAATGTACTCGTAAATACGTTTGTATGAACCGACGTTTGTTCTGAACTGACACGCGATAACTTAAACTAATTGTATTCGGTTTAAAATAACCACAGGTGGGTTAATTGTAGCTTGTAAGATTATATTTAAGTACATGATGCAGATATTAGCTATTTGTTTGATAAAATATTCTTTATTCTTCTTCTTTTAAAAAAATGCTCCATACTAGGATTTTCTAGACGTGTCGTGTACAAATTCACATATACATGACACCCAGATCCGAAACAACAAATTGTGATGACACAATGTGTTGTTCCGTTCGGGAATCGAACCCGCGACACGCTGCATGGCAGCCGATTGCCCAGCCACCGCACTAACCGTACAGTCAAACCTCAGGGTTTAAAATGTACATAGAGACTTGATGACGTCATGGTAATTGATAGTTCCTGAATATCCTTTTAAACGTATGAACAACCTGGAGTTGTGGTTTCTAGTGGTATCAGGTATGTAACTGTGTACAATTAAGGTAAATAGAATATCACATCTCAATTAGTAAGTGACAGTGTCGGCAAATATTACAACATAATTATGACGAAAAATTTTTTGTCGTGAATCATGACAATGATGTTATGAACTTCATAATAATAATAATATTTTTCTACAAATATTGTAATTGGATTACGCAAACAGAAATTCAATACAATTTAATGTTATATTTTTACATCGCACCAAAACCAACAATGATAGTGGAAATGAACAAAATTTATTGCGTTGAACATTTATTCTTCAAATTAAAAATAAACAGTACATTAAAACAAAAGAAAGAATTACAATGCGGTCACATTTTTAATTGTAATTACTGACAGCATTCCCGGCTATCAATTGTACGGATCGTGACTTTTCCCAAAACAATAGGATCAGTACACGTAACTGCGAAGACGGCGACTTTAAATAAACATCAATAAAAATCAGTTATAACAATATTAACAATACAATGGAAAATAACGTGGATTCCCACTATGTTGTGTAACACACAGATTGTCTTATAAGCCTTGTATATGATTGTCTAGACGCAGGATCTCCTTTTTACTTTAGTATCGAAAAAAGTAATGGATAAGAAGGCACAACATACAGTACCAAAACTGTGTTTGCTATTATTGTTTTATTTTTGACACAAATCTGTGAAACAATAAAATATTCTTTATCTATAATAACATAACATAACATCACGCCTTTTATCCCCATAGGGGTACGCAGAGGTGCACACAGAAGTAACACCCACTTTTCACTATATATGTTAGTAGCCCCATGTAATAGGGGGTGAGCCTATTGCCATATACCGGGCACACTTCCAGACTCCGTGCTACTACTGACATTTTTTTAAAAGACCCATAAATACTGTGCCCGACCCAGGAATCAAACCCGAGATCTCTTGCTCGGCAGTCGCACTTGCGATCACTCGGCCAACGTAGCAATCATTATCTATAGGTAATATTTCCATTAATTTTAATTGTCTACCTACTACATCAAATGTCAAGTAAAACTTTTGCTGTAACAAAACAATGATCTTTACAAACATACTTTATTATTAAAATCCATCAATGTTAAACTCAATTTTATTATACTTTTTAAAAAGCCATGCAGATGTAAGTCTCATATGGCGGGCGCTATAAATAAGGGCGCGCTCACACGGTCGTGTCTCCAGTGACTAATTTGTTAACAAGTGTTCGGGGACACTTAATTACGTTGCAAGCAGCGGGGCGTCATCGTCGTTCAACGAATACATTACTTTGTCAAGATATCCTCGTTAAATAATGCTGCTATTAGTAAACCTTAATTGAATTTATGAAAGCAAGCGTTTCATGTTTCGCTTCCGTGATTATTACTACTTACTTGATGGGATCGCTTTTGAGAAATTGGTTGTCTAATAATTTGTATGTTAACTTTGAACTCAGAAAATTGGCTAGAAGGAAAATGAGAGGTAGGTCGTAATCATAACTTTCGTGTCATGTTATTTGACTCGTTGAGTACCGTTATTATAAACACAATTATAGAACAATAGGTTCCGGTCACCGGTGACCGTTTGGTGTTTGACAGTTTAATGTTCATCTGGAATTTCTATTTCTTCTAGTCTTTGCCAATTGGGCCTACCGTATTTTGCTCACCACGTAACGCTAACGTGAACCTCTCGTTCTTCGTCCAATAGGGACTCAGCTAGTGACACACTATTGGACGTACCATATTTGATAGCTGCAGTGATTGGACAAAAAATCTCTTCCTTATGCTGCCAGTTCTGTACGGTACACAACTCGCTCGGATACATTCCCAATTTTTTAACATTTACTTACACTATTATATTTATTCATCACGATATAAATCTAAAAACTTATGTTAAGTTGTCAGTCATTCCTTCAGATAAGTAAATTACAATTTGAAATATCCGTCTCATTTCGTGTATTTACATGTGTAATACATATTATATTTTGCGATGTTTCATATTTTCATTCATAACACACGCTGCTGTCACCTAGTTCAAACAGTTTATTTTAAGACATTGAATGTCACACGAGCAATTGTTTCTGTTGTTAAAGTCATGAAGTTGTTATCTTATGTAATGATACCTGAGACATCGTTATTAACGAAGGCTGAATCACTGTTCAGTATTTCCGCTGAAATTCATACTTTAACTATACTGTATGGAGTATACCGTGCTCCATACGGTATATTATCTGAAGATTTTACTACAGAGACTGCCGGGCAAGGGGTCTAGGGTTCGATTCCCGGGTCGGGCAAAGTATTACTGGGTTTTAAAAAATTCTCAGTAGTAGCACGGAGTCTGGAATTCTGCCCGGTATATGGCAATAGGCTCACCCCCTATTACATGGGACTCAAAACATAAATAGTGAAAAGTGGGTGTTACATTGTACAGTGGCATAATGTGCACCTCTGCCTACCCCTTCGGGGATAAAAGGCGTGTTATGTTATTTTACTAAACAAATTACTATTCTTTAAAAAGGAAACGAAACAACAATGTGATCAAAGATACTAGGCGCCACCATTTATATTTACAACCGAATTTATTGATATGATTATCATACTTAGTTTTGCGATGTGTTCCTGAAACTTTAAAAAAAAACGTTGCCCCACCGTTGCGTAGGATTTTCTCCTGTGTCGTGGGTGCGTTTACAAACATACAAGTTCACATACACATGACACTCAGACTTGGAACAACAATCTGTGGATCACACAAAGAGTTGTTCCGTGCGGGAATCGAACCTACGACACATTGCGCGGAAGCCAGTTGCCTAACCACCGCGCCCGCCGTGCAGTCAAACTTGAAATTATCAGTGCTACTTGCACGTATATAAGATTAAAGCCTTACGATTTTCATTTCGTGAAGAACTAACATTCATAACTGTAATCTATAATGTACCAAGACCATACTCTTCTGTACTTACCCTTATATATAGCGCAAGGCCCTTGCACAAGCTGAACTGGTTCCATTTCACGGCAGACCTTTGACATGAACATGTATTCATCAGTACCTACTAATACAATGACTTATGTGTACATATCACTTGTTTTTTGGCGTGAAATATAGTTTTTTCTTTCTTTCTACTTTTTGGAGCACGATTATTTTGATTTTATGTTAAGTATCTGTTGTGTTGTAAAATAACATTATATTTTTATATCTAGTATGGGCGGAGACTGGCGAGTTCCGAGACAGTGGCCACTCATCATTGGCGTCAGTTGGCTCAGGAGTTGAGCAGTCATCGCTCTATGCGCCACCACGACCGAGACGCGACAGGAAACCCACTGACGACAGTGAGTATTTTTGTAAGTTACCTCTCCTACTAAGTTATTAAGAGCCTTTAATTTTATTTCATATGAAAACTTTGAAGAATGCTGTAGCTACAACAAACATTTTTATTCACACATTTTTATTTAAACCACAAATCAATCAAAGAAGATATCTCTGTTGTCTATTATTTTTGCGATTGTCTCTAGTCAATGACTATTCTTCTACATACAGACAGATAATTTTATGATAAGATTCGCTTTCTACCTGTTTATGTATCTATCTCTGTCGTATAGTTACCAAAATTAATCTAAAGCACGCGCTTAACTACGTCAATTTATCTTAAAAATATGTTTTTGCTGCAGTGAAATTGTTGCTATTTGATTTTCTTTGAAGTTTTCACCGATAAATACATATACACGTAACAAACTGGTGCAAACTAGTTTCATAATCTCTATCACAGATAAAATTGCTTTGACGTCAATCAAAACTTGTTTTTTGAAGTAGTTTCTTTTCGCATTGAAAGGAAAAACTCGATGTTACAGTGAAAACAAAGCAATTTAATTGGTGGACCACACAAAGTGACAAGCTTAAAACTGAAAGCAAACCCAGTAAAGCGTAGGGAAATCTATGGCAAATACGGCCGCGCGTTATTCTAATGCTTTCACAAATAGCCGCGCGAGCACGGCGCGCGGTTACCTAACGGCGCGGTTGTGGCGCCGCCCTAACTTTCTGCACTACGTACATACGTCGGCGCCGTACTAATTGCTCTTTTATTTATACTGGCTGATTTGATTAGCGTTCCTACGGAAAAAGAAATGTTTTATTCTACCGTACGGACTCCATTTGTGAATGTTTGATTGGATGCCACATTTCAATTGAATGCTGAAATTTCATTTGTCATAGTGTGTTATAATATTTCTATACAGTAATTTAAATATACCTATATAAACATGTGGATATGAAAATATCTAGTTTATCGATGATTCTGCGATTACAATAGGCCATTGCGAGCTATCATCGTAGTAATTAATGTAATACCCGTTAAGCTGGTTATGTTGTAATGACAATTATCAGTAAATTAATATTATGTGATTGAGACGATGCCTGCTCGTTTACAGGATTGTCTTAACTGTTAATGGCGAGCTTATAATAACGCCTTGCACGAGACTAGTGTCTTAATAGGTTAAGACGAAGAACACATCTAAGATATTTAATGTCAAATATATTCTAGATAGTTAATCAATTGATTGCAGCGTTAATACACAGTAGTGATAAAGAAAAGTATTTTATACCTGGTTATCCCCATTATAAAAATCGTAGCTACTTAATTTGTAGTTATCGTAAATCGTAGCGCCTCCAAGTGCGCGTATCCTACTTTCTGAAGCCCCTCGATAACAATCATTATGTTAAGAATGTACACTCGTTGTGAACTATTTGAAAGTAAACACATTAAAGGAAACGTTGCGATGTTTTATCAAAATCGAGTGTCGGGCTTTGAAGTGGCAACATGTTCTGATATCGGTAACATATGTAACTACGCTGTTTACCAACCCGCTCTTGTCATGTCGGCCAAACGCAAAGGCATAGATTAAATATGTTACCTACTAACGCAAAGGTTAGTTCGAAATGATGGATGGGTCGGCGAACGCTCAAAGCGTATCGCTGATAAACGCTATCGATGCGTTATCGACGCGTATCGGACTTATCTAGGGTTGTCGCAACCTCAACTTACTACAGACCATTCACTTTTATATGGTCCGTGGCCTTGCCCACTTTCAGAAGTTTCGACAGTTTAACGGAACTTTAAATAATTTGTTCAGTAATTTCATTGGCTTCGTGCTTTAAGGGATTACGTCGAGTTGAAAACTGATTTATTTACTGAAATAAATCACTGAAAGTAAATTTTCTTCTAAACTGGAAAAGGAAAGTTTCTTTACATCTACGCTTTTATTTACTTACCAAATTCAGGTGAGAACAGTTTTTTGTTTAGAAAAACGTCGTAGAAGTAAGAACTTAAGTAGGTGCTTAGACGAAACAGTATTCCGTTGTTAGTTGATAAAAACGTGGTTCTTACATAGATAGTAGCAGCCCTAGTAGTATCGGCGGATAATGATCGTGGTTTGAGGATGGCATCGGTAGCCGGGTGCCGGGTGCGTAACCTTTGAAACCATAATCCCGCCTTGTTCATTATACACCAATGAGATTGGCGAGCCCTACAGATTTATGTTTTTTCACTTTTCATACACATCTTATCGTTTTACTATATACTGATTTCGTTTTATATATGTATTTGTTGATAGCAGGACTATTTTGGCGAGTGACGGGTTTTGTTAATTTAAAGTTATGTTATCGTGTTTATGTTTCGGTTTTATTTAATTACGGTGACTAAGGTTTTGTGTTCTTATTGCCTTCGTTTGTTAGAAATACATTTATAATACTATATGTGAATTACACTCATCAATGGACTGAAATTAGTACATTTTGCCACCTTCGCCATTCTAACAAAATATTCTTAATCATAGTTGTCAATAATTTATCTGTGTTTTTGTAGTATCGGCCTTTAATACCAGTAGTAAAGGCTTTTACTATTGAAGAATGTTTTCGTTATGTGATACGGAGTAACGATATTAAAATTATTCATAGGTACATATATCTATAGCTATCATCATTGGTGTAGGCATAATATCGGACAGTGATGATTATTTAACGATGTTCAATCAAGATAAGCACCCTCAATAAAAGTATAAACGGTAATCCGACATGTAATAAACGAAATTACAATTTAAAACTATTTTATTATACTTGAAAAACACGTAGACTTGTCGCATCACGTTGTCTTGCTACTGTTTCTGTTGAATCATGTACATTGAAATTACAATTTATGAAAAATAAATAAAAATATATTTCATGCAAAAAGTACTGAATATGAAATGAAAAGTGTTTTATTCGGCATACGGCATGAATACTAGGAACAAAAAAAAAGATTATACAATTTGACAAAATAACAAAATAAAGGTTAGGTTAGATAAGTTAGAAAAGATCAGAATGAAATTTATGTAAAGGCATTTTATTCAGATAACGAGAGTAAAAATAGTTATCTAAAAACAAAGAACAGTTAGTTACGCGCTAATGAGTAAGAGTCCCGGTTTGACTCGAAATTAGTTGAGCTTTTTTTTAATACCTAGTTCACGTGAGTTATTACACAAAAAGGAGAACTTCATGAATTGTAGGATGGCAATTAACAACAGCAATTACCATGATTGTCATTATAAACGTAATGACAAATGCAATTTACAATTCATAAAAGGCAGGGTGTTGACGTCAAAGTATGGATGCTTATTCGTACCTCACGTGTCTACAAAAATATGAACGTAAATCTGCAATTTCCTGACTATATTTTGAAATATAGAATAGAATCAAGCGTTCCTTTGCGGAAATCCATGCTTCACTGACAAGTAACTTGACAAGTTTCAAGCCATGCTAGAGGCTCATATTCATAAGCAGCATTCCTCTCATGACACTCTAGCTTTTCTAGCATGGTGAGTTACTCGTCAAATAGTTACGTGAGTAAGCCGAAAACATAATAATTAATTTAGTATGACTCACGACAGTTTTAATATAAACAACTGGGGAAATATTTGGTTTTTATTTCGCTGAAGAAATGAAGTTGTTTATTGCGTGTCGTGTGTGTATTTTCTGTCGCATCTCTGTTGCATGACCGTTTATCTGCGGGCGGGAAAGCGATGCTGCGTACTGCATGCTGCAAAGTCATTACTTTAGCGGAATAAAAACTAAATATTTTCCTAATTGGGAGTATATTTTGAGAGCCAATATTTAAAAAAAAGAGGCGTGGAATTCATTTACTTCAAGTCATCATTAGTCACATAATAATTTTTATTCAACATAAAATGTTTTTTTTTCTAAATGATTGATCATTAGGACCAAAATACATATAGATAAAATGTCCTATCATAAGGAAAAAAACCACACGCAGCCATTTTTTTACGTATCTCCAAAATGCATTCTGTTCTTTTAATTAGGTAATCTAGTACGGTTGCAGAGATAGGAGTTATTGATTAGCGGTTAATTACCTGATAGGGATTATGCAGTAGAAATATTGTAAAGCTTATAAGTAGATGAAGCAAAATGTATGTAAGTAGGTAGGTATGTGATTATGAGTCCAACGCAAGGGATTAATTACTTATCCAAACAAAGAGAATGGAATTGTTCCGACTGATTACAAGTCCATTTGTGATGATAATGCTCATTCCAAAATCTGTAATTACTTACCTATATACAAGAAACTCTATTCTTACTATTTTTGACGAATGGTCGTACGTGCGACTGCCGGGCAAGGGGTTGACAGGGGTCTCGGGTTCGATTCCCGATTCGGGCGAAGTATTATTAGGTTTAAAAAAAAATCTCCGTAGGTATTAGCACGGAGTCTGGAATTGCGTCGGTATATGGCAATAACGCTCACCCCTTTACTTACATGGGACTAACATAAATAGTGAAAAGTGGATGTTACATTGTACAGTGGCATTAAGTACTGTAATGTGCACCTCTGCCTATTCCTTCGGGGATAAAAAGCGTGATGTTATGCTATTTTTTACATATATTTTCACCTACTTACGATCATAGGAGGCTAACTTGGCGTCGCTGTTTCGATTCCAAACAGCATTTTTAAGCAATCACGTACGTAATAAGAAAAACGACACACATAAGATCCATTATCCAATGCAACCTAAATCCATTCACACTGTCTAAGCCCTGGTTTTTGACACCGATGTTCATTCAGTAGTGACCTCTATTGCAGTAGAGACAATAGGTACATTGACACAGGGATTTCGAGCAAAGCCAATATATGCGGCTTGATTGCGATCGACGCGTTATCAGTAATGAATTGATGTAATAACAACATCGTATCACTTGTCCCCTTCGATAGCGCGAGGGAATTTTAACCTAGTAATCACGAAACTTATTTGTCATTTCAGTTTTTTGGTTTATAGCTGTTCTATATTTATTATTAGTTGTTAGTCTAGTTGTTGGAATAGGATTGCTGTGTAGAGGGTCCTAGAACTAATTAGTGGTTCATATATGTGTTCAAGGTTGATTTACGAAATAATTTCAGTTTTGATTTAGGTAAAAGTGGGTGATCTACAGGTTTTGAACTCATAACATAACATCACGCCTTTTATCCCCGAAGGGGTAGGCAGAGGTGCACACAGAAGTAACACCCACTTTTCACTATTTATGTTATGAGTCCCATGTAATAGGGGGTGAGCCTATTGCCATATACCGGGCACATTTCCAGACTCCGTGCTACTACTGAGATTTTTTTTTAAAACCCAGTAATACTTTACCCGACCCGGGAATCGAATCCGAGACCCCTTGCCCGGTAATCGCACTTGCGACCACTCGGCCAACGAGGCAGTCCAGTTGCTTAAAGCTTCCTTGGAGTTCTAAACTTTTTAATTTACTTTTCATAGTTGACAGGAATAGATAAATCCAGTAAAGACCTTCACCCTTCAATAAGTACCTAGTCTGGGAATCCAGCTTAAAATAACCCCTTCATTGTTTAGCAGCACATCTGTCGTTATGTCTTCTATTAACGCTATACAAATATACGCACACCGTTGTAATAAGAAAGTCAATTTTATTACCATCGTAAAAACCTCCCTAAATACTTTAACATTATAATATTTTTGTTTTTCTCTTAATAAAATTCAGTTTCTCTATTCTGATTACACGCTGATATAATCGCCCATTAAAAATATGAACCGAAAATAGATTTTATTGCATGTAAGTGATATAAATTACGTGAAGTGTGACGTTGCTCATCGAGATCAACGAATTTACGGCAGTGTCGTAAAAGTATTAGTTGTGCTTGCGTCTAATCCGCCGCCGCATTATGGGCTTGCTACCGGTACTTGCGACCGTGGCCCTGATTCTATATTTTTATCTAAATAATATTGAATGGGAGAACTTTATATGTACACGATGTTTATGATGTTATTTTTTGGATATATCCTGTGTGCTTATGGGATAAGATTAGATTTAGGTTGCATTTAGTAACGGCGTACATTTTATTATGACTTTTGAGCAAACATTAGTAATGACTTAGATATATTTGAAAAACACTTAACATATAAAAGCACTTACAAAAAGTACTTTTAAGAACTGCTGAATAACAAACCTGTTACACGAGCTCTATAGTACAACACATACGCAAAAGTTTACACTTAAACTACCGAACTTGGGACTAACTGCCTCTATCTGTTCAGGCAATCGGCCGCTAACGTCGGAGCCGACGATAAAGACGGAGTCAACGACTCCGGGGGTCGGGCCCGACGAGCCTTCAATGGACGACAAGGGCGACAAGAAAAACAAGAGACAACGCCGCCAGAGAACGCATTTCACCAGCCAACAGCTGCAAGAACTTGAAGCCACCTTCGCAAGAAACCGCTACCCTGATATGTCCACGCGCGAGGAGATCGCCATGTGGACCAACCTCACGGAAGCGAGAGTTAGGGTAAGGATACAAAATAATTACAAAGATACTTCTTTTACCAATTGAGTAATCTTTTCCATCAAGATTAATGAATGCCACGGTATTGGTGTATTTCCAACCACCAAGGCTGTGGTATCCACTTTTTATGTCGTTGTGCGACGTGACAGGAGCGCGAGTGCATTACAATATTAACGAGCTAGATGTTTAGGCTAATCGTCGCATCCGGCGCGTCTTCGGTATTTTTGTGCCGTGCCGGCCGACGGAACATGGAATCCCTTAATCCTCGAGGATTTGATGCGTCTATTTCGGTCTCTTCATAATCCCCGGCTTAAGTCTGATCGCATCCACACTCACTGTCAATAGTTTTGGAAGGCCCTGTTAGAGATTCTGCGGTTGCAACCGAGTTGGAGTGTTTTGCTTGTACTGAATTCATAGAATAGTTAACGGTTTCTTTGGCATGTGGAATGATCGGTTTCGATAATCTCTCGAACACGTGTAGTGAGCAAATTCTTTGTGTATATTTACACATATTTTAACTTCAATATTTTGATACCACATTCGTACATTGTAATTCTTAAGCACTTGGAGATGACATCGTGACATGATGAAGTGCCATGATAAATAGAATTTTAAATGAAACAATTGAGATAAATCATTGCATCTTTTTCATCTTGAAATAAGTGGCCATCAGAGAAAATCTCCAAGAATTTGGCAAGTGTCATATGACATCAATTATCTTCGGTTACTGACTCCAGGACACATGTGGAAACAGATGCAGATATTGTAATGATACTTTCTATAGATTTTATTCATTCAGTAATATGCTAGGTATATTTACAGCCTTGTTAGCTTTTAAGATGAGCAATCGATTTCATAAATATAAAGTTTAATCTAGAGTCTATAAATATGAATTCCTACATATTTCAAAATATAATAACCCCATTAAGAACAATGAGTCAAAAAGTACCCAGGTATCGTTAGACAGGTCTTTAAAAATATGTAATTTGATTGTATCGGGCCAAACTCAAAAACAACGGTCAATCCAACAGATTTGATTGATAAATTCTGTCTCTAAAATAATTTGGTACTCACCGTAACATTGCAAAGAGTGATCTCGCCACAAATACACCGTGAGCAATTAATTACCCGGTTATCACATGCAGATACATGTAAATCGATACTTTATGAGTTGAACGCGTTGCTTCAAGTGTTAGGTATTCGTTTCAGTGTACTCGACTGCACTGGATCATACGCGTGTGTTCTTCAAAACATTCCCATTTGTTAGCCAGGGTTGTCCGTAACGTAGGATGATACAATAAAGCGATACTCAAGCCAAGATCTCTGCTCAAGCATAGCTGGAAAGGGATGCATTTATCTGTTGAATGTATTTGCATCCCTTTTTAAATATACTTGAAAATGTATGTATCCCACATCGTATCATTTATTCGAAATATTTTCTAATGTGTCGCTTATCAGTTCCGTTTGGCTTTTGCACCTTGTCGATCTAACAGCCAAAAACTGGTTGAAACCAGATAAACCAGTTCTAAAGCTTATCGCCGATGTAATATGACTGAAACTTAAAGTATTAAGTTTGACTGATAGATGTATCTGTTTTCTAAGTCGTTGCATTTTATGGCTTATTTATCGGGGACTTCCCCGTATTAGGTACTTACCTAATGCAATGTTATCAAATAATATTAGGCATGTAAGAAGGCTTTTTCGTTTAAAGTAAAATTGTATTGGTGGCAAGTCTGGAAGAAAAATAGGTACCTATTAGCTTTCTTACAAACAAAACATGAAATACCTATAGATAATACAAATCCTTATTATTATCCATCAAGCTTAATTTCATTGAAATTGATAAAAAATCGCAGTATTTTTATACATCAAAGGGACATGCCTTATTTGATATTAAGTGACATGATTAGATTTCGAAACTTTTTAATTAATTGTGTTTGAAAGATTAATGTAATGATAATAATTTAAAACGAATGTGCTTAGCTTACATTGAAGTCTTAATTCTTAATATGTGGTTACCTACGAGATAATATTGATTATTGTAATATTTTAATTCAGACAGCCCTAAACAGGGGATTATGGTTCGTTCGTCCGCGCAGCGCCCGCGCCATCGCGCCGCGCGCCGTCTAATAAATCTGTGCGCGCGCGCACCGATAAATCGTTGAACATTATTTTTGTTACCAACTCATTAGGGTCATTGCCTGCTTATTGACTCAATTAGCGTTCGTAAAATATGATATGTTCGCAGTTTTGTTTTCTTAAACGAGTATTTCCCTGCAAATGATATTTGTCAAATTACACTACGCAAATTAATCTACCTTTTTCATTTGAATGTTATTTTAAATGTTTCAGCTTCCTTTGGATATATTTGTCAATTCACGTATTGAAATGTGTAATTGTGTAGGTACTATAAATGGACTCACGTGTCACCATTCTTTTTCATTCACAATTCACGGCTAACTTGACACGTGAGTTATTACGAATATCTCTAATTCGAGATCAGTTTTTGTTGCGCAGCAATTTGTAAACGTAAAACCGCCCCCTGGCAGTTTTCCTTTCTGAGAAATGAAGCGACACGGGCCGCATCGTCGCGCGTCGTGCAATCGTCCGTGAAACAGCTCTTGACACATTTCATTTGACGCGATTGAGACCGCCCAGCGCCGCGTTCCGCGTGACGTCGAATTAGAACATCGATCTAACAAACAAACAGATTATTATTTAACTATGTATGTTGACGTAATACAGAGAACTTCATATGAACGGCTTGTTTTGATTTCTAGTGAAAACATGTAATATTGTTTTGGGATATTTTAGGTAGTCTAGAATAGATAGAGATTATTTGTAGGATAATTTGGTGTATGTATAGCTATTTTGTCTATTTTATGTAGTTCTCTTATTCTATAGTAAAATTTCTCAAAATTTCAAAGAACATAAATCCACACTACTTGTCTACCTGGTAGTGACAATAATGTATATATTATTACAAAACAGTACACGAACAAAATATTTACAAAACTAGAAACAATAAATCTTCAACCATTTGAGCGGAAAAAATAAAACGTATATCATAGTAATAGTTTTAAGATGTGAAAACATTTTAGTTTGTGCATGTGTAAAAAGGCGTGTATCAAACGCGTCCGCCGACAGGGCAGGCGGCACGGAACATTATTTATTTTACGTGAAAACGGCTCGCCCCAGCGGCTCTCGGGCTGTTTTTGCAATGCTTTTAGTGCACGTTCCTGTCGCCTGTCTCGTTGCATGCAAACAGTTTAGCGAGATTTACCTTGTTTTTACACACTAGCCACGCGCGCAAGAACTAACTCTACGCCTCTATACGCTTCTAGTACTAGTGTGCTGTTCGTATTCTGAATTAGTGTGCATTTTTTCTAAAAAAACTTGTACTGGTTTTTAACCAAACGCAGTATCATTTTGAATAATAGTTTTGTAATCTAATTACAAATCATACAGTTGCAACTTTATTTAGCCAGCTGTTAATCTATATAATACTTTGTTTATACGCATTAGATGGGCTACTTTTGAATTGATATACGAGCGAAATAATGTAGTCAAACTAAATTGAGTTAACTAATCATGAAATAAAGCTCCTTGACATCACTGAGCCGGTGAGACATCGCATCAATATTGATATATAATTTACAATACAAACAAATGTTGTAATAATAATTAAATTATGAAACAACACTGTCATGTCCTAACCGCGTCTGGCCCGAGCCCAACCGGTAGTCTCGGTATAATCTTACACGAAGAATTTGTTTCGGTAAACAAGAGATACAGTATTAACGCACTTCAATTACGAAATTTATTTCACTCCGCGTATTCTTGCCAAGTATTCGTATTCTCGGAGAATTTACTTTGTACATGCAGTTTTAGAGTTTATTATTGCTAGTCGTAAGTTAAGTCGAAGCTGAGCGGCCGGCATACTAGATGTCCAATGAGTTATCCCGATTATGTTTTGATAGGCTTACGGTGTAGTGTTGTGATCCCGTGGACTTTGCACGGCGTTAGTCAGGAATTTATATCAATGAATGGAAGCTAAAATCACTTGGCTGTCAGATAGTGCGGTTGTATAACTGTGGATTTTGCGCCAAATTAACTTCAGTAATCTCTGTTTTCTAAACACAGAACAATCTTTGTGAGTGTTTTAGTTTTTTTTATTTGTGATTTAGTGCGTGTATGTGGGTGCTATCTAGTATTAAACAGTAATCCTAGTGTTTTGTTCGCAAAAACAATTCACATTTTTGCTACAATTACTGACGATTAGATCACGGTATTGTTGGAGCATTTTTAAGTAGTTCTGTGGGTATAATGTTAGTAGAGTATTTCCCATAATACAGGAGTTACTGCCGCTTCGCTCGGCAGGGTGCATTTAATAATCTACTCAACGTTAGGGGCGTCAGCGACTGGTCACGACAGATTAACAGTGGCTAGCTTGAGCCTCTAACGTAGCTGTTCATTCGTATTAACTATGTAGGATGACTTGAAGCGCTGTGTATAACCTAGAAACTTGATGATGGCTCTGCTCAGTACCGAGTACGGTATCAATCAGCTAATTCTGTTTAAGAACTGTTTCAAAATATAATGGAATACATTGTATGTTTATCAATACAGTTCTTGCAAACAAATACAAAGTACAAATACTATAATTTGCTTGTACCCATGCATAATTTAATCATACAAAAATGTGCATTTTATTATTCGGTTCCAATGCATTGGCAACCCTGTCTCAAATACAAGTCAATCCCGAGTTTATTATGCTATATCCATTTATGCGAGAGCGCGTGTTTATTTGACTTTAGAATAGTCTCGGACCAATACGTTCCGACAATAATAGTTCCACTTGCTTACGGCATAAGAACTATAATCCTGTGCCCGTAAACTATGGCCATCCTGTCGGATAAACCGTAGTTTGATTGATGACACTAATAAAACTGTGATTCCAGTTTAATTTAAATTTAAGGCAATTTAGCGACCCCGTGGTTCTGCTGACCGTAAAATAACTTCATTACTAGTGGCGGGGTGTCTCATCATTCATCACTACTATCGTAATGAATTTTGGAAGGCCGCCGTTTATTTGGTCGTAGCTAATGAAAGGAGTCGAGTTTGATAGAGTTTGTGTTTCGTAAAAGATCGTGCCAAAAATGTTTTGTCTTCGTTATGAGAACTCAATCTGTAACTTGGAAGAAACAGTCTTGATAGTGGTTAAATTTGTAAATTGCTAGTTGGTGATTAGTTATGAAGTTTATTATTGCTTCAAAGTTATTCCTAAGTAATCCTTAGTAGGTAATTTTACACATAATTATTGGTGTGGGTACAATAGTTTATAAAAGAAGCAGATCACCAAGAGAAAAAAAGAAGAGAAACTATTGATTAAAATATCAATAATTATTTAAAAAACAATAAAATAAACTAAACTAAATCGACTTTTTAACCACAATTTTTTCTGGACATTCAAATTGTATTTTCGTAGCGCTCGTAGCAAGTGCTACGACAACTTATCGCCGCACTCTGAGTGATTTAATAGTTACTTAACCCAGTCCATAGCAATTGTTTTGGATACAAAATCTTTATTAAGGAATAGTTTAAGTAATAATAAATGTCTCTGAGTATAGCAGTAAATAGTGGGGCATAATATTGTAGGCCATAATACACGTCGCTCGTTGAAGGCATGTGTCAGTAGGTACTCGGGCGTGCAGCACGGGCTCACATTAATCTTGCTGTACATGCGCCTCCCGCATGATAACTTGATAACCCACACATCTACCGTCACGCTTCCCTCTGGACGAGTTCGTTTCATCATAGCGAATTTGTTTTCCTACTACGTATAATATACCAAGTTGCAAAAATGTTATTTGGATTTTATGATGATTGTTTTGCCTTTTGAAGAGATGTCTACTTCCTTGAGTAACTAAACTGATATCAGTCGTGTAATAACAAGGTATAGAACCCTACACAATCATTATTCTTCATACGCTTTTGCATTTAAATAATTGATTAAAAATATTTAAACCCACACGAGGTGTTAACCCTTCAAAGCGACAAACAACCGGCATAAGGAATAAATTAAAATGAACACGCATTAGTATCGATTTCGGAAGCATTAAAAAGTGTCAGGGTGTCTCCTTGGCGGGTGACGGAGGGCGCGGGACGGTCACCATTCTGCAATAATATATTTAAAGGATTAGCCCCGCGTCGCAATATCGCGACCCTCCTCGGGCCCGAGCACCCCGCAGCGTCGCGCCGCGCTCGCTGCCCGCCGCTATTCAAATAATGGAAATTATTTCCACATATGTGCACCTAAATAAATATCATTCCGACGTCATTATTGAACACCCCCGATGTTTCTGTGGAGTTATTTTCACCCGTTTGTTCGCGGTTTGAATGGGAAATAGCGGATGTGTAAAGCTTTTGTTTTGGTAATGGCAGTGCCCACATATTGCGTGTTTCGATTACCGTTAAATGTACAATGTTAATCTGGTAAACATCTACAGGTTTTGCAATCTTACAGTACCACGTGCGTGTGAATTTAGATAGTAAAGCGCGGTTTACCTGTGTCACCCTGTGTACGAAACATGCGCTCATGCGAATTTGTGAAATTTATGTTTCGAAAAATAAACGATTGTATATGGGGTGGAAACGACCGTTTATGTTCACTTAACCGAGGAAAGAGGGTATTATTTACCGTTTCGGCTGGGTGAACCCGCCACAGTGAGTGAGACAAATACCGGCGGCGGCACAATATTTATTGCAGTCGCTACGTGGATTGCGCAATTTATCGCGGAGGTGTCGTCGGTGCGATCGATCGCCGGGTGACGGATGCGTGCCATACATCAGCGCTCGCGTTATCTGCGCTCACGGCGACTTATCACCGCACTCGCACCGCCGCGTGCCCTGCAGCCACCAGCGCGGCACAGACAGCTCCTCGGCTGCGAGCTGCCCCCGGTAGCCGCTCATTTATTTCGACTCGATCAAGTCGTGGCGAGTGGCAGCACCCGTCCCACCCAATCGCGACGCTCGTTTATCTTCATTTCGCGGCCGCAATTAGACGGGTCGTTGGCTGCGGCAAGCGGCGGGGCCGGGCGGGGCTCGGCCTCCGCTACGTGGCTCGAATACACGCAGCCACCGCCGTCGCCACAGCCACGATGCGACGTCAACTTTGTAATGAGTAAAGTTGATAACTACGCAACGCAAGTCGCGTTCACATTCTGAATCTCGTTAAAACTTGTAGATTCGCCATCAAATCACTGGACACCCAATTTACCTGCTTCCCATAATTTACTTACCTGTAAAAATCGGGCCAAGCTCTATGCTTCTTAAAGTAAAATGGTTGGTCGTCGACGACACTAAAATTAGTAATAAGTCTGAATAAACGGAATGGATACATTTATTAACAATAATCTTTATTGCAGGTATGGTTTAAAAACCGGAGAGCTAAATGGCGGAAACGAGAAAGAAACGCCATGAACGCCGCCGCTGCTGCCGCCGCAGACTTCAAGAACGGTTTCAGCACGCAGTTCAACGGGTTAATGCAGCCCTTCCCCGATACTGACGCGCTGTACTCATCATATCCATACAACAACTGGGCTGCTAAGGTGCCCAGCCCTCTCGGCACTAAGAGCTTCCCTTGGCCAGTAAACCCACTAGGCTCAGTAGTACCTGCAAGTCATCACCAGGGCTCAGTGAACTGCTTCAATACCGCGACATCAATGGGTGGTGTCGGTGGCGGTGGCATGGGTGGCGTGGCGGGTACGGGCGGCGTGGCCGGCGGCGTGGCGCCATGTCCGTACACGCCACCCAACCCGTACGGCATGTACCGCGCGGAGCCGTGCGCCGCGATGTCGTCGTCGATTGCGTCGCTGCGGTTGAAGGCCAAGCAGCACTCGTCAGGGTTCGGTGGTGGGTACGGCGGCGTGTCGCCCGTGTCCCGGGCGGGGTCGGCGCCTCTGTCGGCGTGCCAGTACGCGGGCGGTGTGGCGGAGCGGCTCTGAGAGGAGGCGCGGGGGCGCGACGAGCGCGAGGCCGGCGTGCTGGCGCGCGCCTCCTAGTCGCCGCCCGCGCCGCGGCCGCCGCCCCTGTACTCGCACCTGTGGGACTGGTTCGACTGACGCGCGCGCAGCCTGCGCCCCGCACCGCCTGTGTCGGTGCTGGACGTTACTTACGATACCTCGGGCAATAAAATATATAACGACGTCGTTCTAAACTTGTTGTAAATATGTAGTTATGTATGTACGTATACCAAAGCGATGTGTGCAATTTTTACAAGCTTACGATGTACTTAGGTTATATAATGTAAGTGTTTTAGCTTAAAATTGAAAATGTAAATATATAAACTTGATAACTTATTAAATACGAAACAATGAGCATTTGAGTAATAGTGAAATTATAGCTATCGTAAGATTTTGTTTCAAAGTGTCAGTGTTTTGTGTTATATTACAGAGGTGATGTTGTTACTGTATGCTCCCCTCTCCACTCGATACATTATCGCGTTACGCATTTAACACATGCATATCTAAACATATATCAGTAAAGTAATAAGGAGTGCTCCAAACGTGTGAAGTTCAGTAATTCCAAAACAGCAATGATTTTGTAACAGTGAGGATATGTCACGAGTACCAAAATGTGAAACCTAAAATAAAATAAGCGTAATCTAAATTGTCATTCTTAAACTAATGTACTTATCAAGGCTACTGCCACACTGTATTCAAATTCTAATAACATTTAAATTTTGTTGTACAACAATTGAATTTGAAAACTTTCATGTAAATATAGAGTAATTTAAAAATAAGAATGTACTTGAATCATGTTAAACGGACAATTTTGAATCTTAAATTTTAAACAAAACGAATGAAAATCGAACGAATTAAATGATAGTGTAGAAGAGTCGATGGCAATCATTAAAATTATGATTTTAAATGAATCCATTACTTTTATTTCAACAAGACCTCATTTTAACTAAAGCTTCAAAGTTGGTCGTATTAAGTACCCTAAGAGTTCCCGGGAATAACAATAATGTAATTATTACCATCTTCAAAAACAGCTGTTTGTTGCTGAGAAAGTAGTAGGGACCCTAATTGATACATTTAAATAGAAAATTGAATGTCAACATTTCCGAATAAAGAGGACTATCACGCAAGTGGCACTAGTGGGAACTGAGGTCTTTTGCCCATTAAAAAATTTGCTAATGTCAAACCACTGGACATTCTATTATTAAACAGTTACTGTAATTGGACGTCAAAGACTTTATTTTACATTAGCGCCATCCGATAACCGCGAATAATGATAGTCCTTACTGTAAGCTGCTTGCTACGACTGCTACGAGAAATGCTACGCGGTGCTACGACAATTCTTGGGTTCATTACAAATTGTTTTTAATTGTTACTGTATTTTGTAGTTTTTGTCCATTGTCTAATGCAGAGGGTTATGAGCTAAGAAAGCTACTATTTATCGGGTATGGAATTCAATATAAATTTTAAAAATACCAACAAATGGGTGAAGTAAGATTTGTGTTCTAGCTAAGAAAATTGGGCAAAGATTTGTTTTCTTGTATATAACTAGTAAAATAGTAAATGAATCTTATTTTCAGTCATTCATTTAACTCCTTCATGACTTATCTAATTTGTCGTCGTAGCACATCGCATTTCGAAACATTTAAAACTAAGATTTCCAAAAACCACCCAATACTAGAAATAACCGCTTACACAATGAGATTAACGTAACCAGGATCTCAATATTTATTAAAATATTTATAACTTAACGCCGTTTATGTAATAATTGTAATATATTGTAACTATTTAATTATAAAAACATTCACTAGATGTAAAGTTTAGTTTAATACACGCACTAGTATAACCTACTTCCGTGTGCCTGTAATTGTCAAGGAAACACTAAATTATGAAAATAAATATGTAAATATATAGATTTGACTTTAAATAATAATAATATTTGATGTGAAATTCGAGGTTTTCATTTTATACATATCAGGACAAAATATCTGAACACGAATACTTTGTTGACGTTATTTTGTGAGTAACAATTATGAGGATAACGATTGTTTTGTAACTTAAAAAACCTCTAGTCATAATAAAAGATATCACAGAGTATTTTTGGGTTTTACTGTTATTTACCCCCCTTTTCGTTTGTCGATTTTTGTCAATTTCGTCGTGTGAGTGAGGTTACCGGAGGCCCAATTACCCTCTCCTTCCCAAATCTCCCCAATTCCTGAATCCCCAACGATCCTCAAACTCCTAATTCCCCAAAAGGCCGGTAACGCACTTGTAGCGTCTCTGGTGTTCCAGGTGTACATGGGCGACGCCGATTGCTTACCATTAGGTGATCCGTCTGCTCGTTTACCTGCTTATGCCATAAAAAACCCGAAAGTTTGTTGTTGTGTATCGTATATCATCAATTATGTTATTAATTACAAATAAGAAAAAAGATTAGTTTATCAATGACCATGTCAAAAATTACAAGGTTAGCCTTAAGTTCAAGAGTCTTCATTGGCTACAATAAATATTTATTTTCCATATCCAAGTTAGAGTACATACATCTAAGAAGATTTTTTTTATCAAAGTCTAGAAGGACAGTTTTGAGACAAACTAAATAATATCATCATATAAAAAATATACTAATACAGTATTACATAACATCACGCCTTTTATCCTTGAAAAGGTAGGCAGAAGTGCACTTTACGGCACTTAATGCCTCTGTACAATGTAACATCCACTTTTCACTATTTATGTTATGCCTCCCAAGTAATTGAAGGTGAGCCTAGTGCCATATATAGGGCAGGCGCGCACGATTCCAGACACTGTGCTACTACTGTTTTTTTTAAATCTAGTAATACTTTGCCTGGCCCTACGAATAATACAGTATTAATCACAAAGAGTAGTCATCGTTAGCCGGGGCATTGTAGTTTCGGGATATGAACAAAAAATTTATAACTGAATAAGAGGGCTCTCTCTTCAGAAGGGGTTCAGCCTTGGAAATCATTTAGGTCACCACATATCAAGAGGATGCCTTCAGGTTTAGGACATACCCAGGAAGAAGTATTCCTATTTCTTGTCCTAAGATCAATCCTTAAATAATATTACGAAAGTCATATTTACACTGTAACTGAAATACTTGTTTAAATCAGCTAAACAAATGCTACATTTTTCCTTATAAAATTGTTATAAAATTACAAAGTATAGGAAAGGAACAAACCTATCCTTATAGATTTTCTTCTATCTAAATAAATATGTCGGAACGGTCATTAGTACGGGATTTCGATTTACTACAAAACTACGAAGATTTAATTGTTTTATTGCTGCATAAGCATACCTCTACCGATATATGCGATGAAGAGGGCTCTCGCTCAACATCGCCCACACCATCCTCCGATAAATACGCAACTATTATGATAGGAATAATTTATGATTACTTCCATTCTTTGTCTTATACAAAACAATCGTTTTTTAATTAAGTTTGACCACTATCTCACCTGGTGTTAAGTAATGATGCGATCTACGATGGAGCACGTCGACACATAAGCAACCTATTCAATCGGGTCTTTCAACCATTCAAGAAATACAGACTTTGGCAAAGAATTCCACACTTTAGCAGTTTATTTACTTATTTTTCCTAATCAGTCAGGTCCAATACTGCAATTTTCTATATGTTCCACAGGATATACTGCCATAATAATATAAATCTTATTAACAAACACAGATAGTATGTATTCCGCCTTTCCTCGTAAGTATTTCACCCGCAGATCACACATCCATAATAGCAAGCCCCGGCCTCGTTGGCCGCTGATATTACCAAAATGAGCGCGACACGCGGATTGGTTCCGAACACGATGATATTAGTGTCCAGAATTCTGGCATATCCTTTATCCGTCATGCCAGAAAATAAGAGGTTTATATATCCGTGAAAATACAATGTAATATCTGATGAAAATAAGAAACCTTTCCGTCTAATCATATTTCGCTGAGGTGCTGAAAATGAACATGAAGTTGGTTTTTGTAAATCAATCCTACATAGTTTGATGTTGCCAAGCTTTTTATTAACTTAATGTATCTTATTAAGTATTTAGAGTGTCCTTAGTGTAGAGTCATGCTAAATTTTTCACTATAATAATAAATATCAAATAAGGATGTTTCCGTTTCTTACCTCTGATAAACAATAATAAATACTATTTCACTACCAATAGGTTGATTACATTATAATTTTTCGAGTGCCGGAAAATACCTATCGGGAATCAATCGGACCGCACTTAATTATTGCATATAATGTTATCTAACAGTTTATGAAGCCAATGAGTGTTGAGTAGTCGAAGGACAATTAATGTTATCATTTAATTCGTCTGATGTCAAGAATTTACGCAACTTTCGATAGTAGATAGTAGTTAAGTAAAGGAAAAATGGAAAACATGTTTCGAATAAATATAGACAGACAATAAAATAAGAAAGGTGAATATTTTAGTAAATTATACTAACGCAAACATATCCACTTTATTTTTTTAATAATTTTAGATACAAGTTTGATTTGATATTCAAAAGATATTTCCGCGCATTTTAATGGCTAAACTACACTACTAGTGAAGTTTCAGATCAAAATAAATTTTACTAAGAACAATACCATCATTTCGTCAGCAATGCCTTTTCACCCTCTTACCTTCTTTGTTTACGGTATCGTTCAAATCTACTTAAGAACATTATTGAGTCCATTATGGTTTATAAAAATGAAAATAAAATAAATAAAATAAAAATCATTTATTTCGGGCATCTAAGAGATCCATAAAATTAATATCTATACCATATATTTACTTTAAATACAATAAAATATATTGTTCTTCTCATCATTATATTCAACAATTGATACATCTAACTGCTGAACTTGTGGAGGTGTATCGACCCTTGAATAATTTTAAAACGTAAAATTTTTACGACAATGTGAGTTGTGATTAGGTACACGTGTTTTTATGTACCTAATTATACAATACTAGCAG